CCGCGTTGGCCCGGGGAAGATGCTGCGGCGGGATGCCCTTTGCGGGTCATTCCCTCCCGCGCACTCATTAGACATTCGCGACGCCACCAGATCGACGACCGCTGCTGCCCCCTCCCCCTCCCCCGCAGCAGCGCTCGCCCTCGCCCTTATCGACCGCCAAGGCCAGTTATTGGCATGGTGGTAGTACGCCGCGCGCAACTGCAGCTGCCTGAAAAAGAATTGTAATGCAATCCATCGATACCGTCCGCGTCGCAATAATATCCTTGCATCGTATGATGTACACGAAGCAGCTTGGTTACATGATTAGGAGTCGATGATAAATGTAATTTCTGGAGTAAAATGAACTGTCATGGGCAAATGATTCGAAGTAACTTGCAATTCATGAAATACAGATACATATTAATTAAACGGATGTTTACAATACAATACCAATCAATTGGCCATGGATTGCGAATGCTGCATAGAAAATTACTCAATAAACAAAGGTAGCTTTTGGTAGGCTCAAGACCCCACTCACTTAGTTTATTATCGCGTTGTATGAGTTAATGAATCGATTTTTCTAAGTATTCTGGCCTTCGATTATGCCATGAGAACCGGCATGTTAAGTAATAAATTCAAATAACAGGAATCAACGAACGCTAAAATGAATTGAGCGTCGAGCTTGAACCTACTTCATTTAGTCATTTCGTACAATTATATAATCATATTTTCAAACGTTCTTTGATCAATATTCAGATGACTACATTGAAATGCTAAAAAAAAAAAAAAGTATCAGTTAAAGTTCCATGCTGTTTGTTGATATGTCAACGACTTTTAAATTATTTACTATTTTGTTCGAATTTGCGCTTTTTCCACAAGAGAATATTTACGAAATGAAAACAGAAATGGTTAAAAAAACATGGAAAGAAAACAAAATCTTGTGTGTCAATAGACAGTATTGTGGACAGAAATCTGTAAATATTAAGAATATCATGGTCTTAAAAGCAGTACGTATTCAACGTTGATCGTTGTTTATACATATTCATTATTTTATAAGGAAAATAATTATGTTTTCGTCAGTTTTTATTTCAATTATTTTTGTTGTTGTAAATTTAAAAGGTATGAACATTTCTTGCATTTACCTGTCTCTCCCATCGTATTTCCTTCTAAATACTGTCATTTCACTCTGACGAATGTTTAAATAATTTTCCCCGCAATAACCTTGGTTGAAGACATAACTTAACGAATCAGGGAGGTGACAAGAAGTATACCCCCTTCACACTAAGTTAATCAACGGAATCGGTCAATCAACTGAAGAGTTTCAAGGCTGATCGTTGTACTGTCTCCCATTAAAAAATAAAAATAAAAAATGATATAAAAATAGTTTCTGATAATTAGTACATAGTTTGTTTGAAATTGATTGCCCAGCTTCATTGAGTTTGTTTTGGTTAATGTCCTAATTATAGGCATGTGTCGTAGACTATTTCCCTTCATCACCTATGTAATAGACGTCATGTTCCATGATTATTGTATTGTTCCATGTGTCAAAATTATCCATCTTCCATCTAGAAGCGAATTAAGAACTTTGTCGCCTACAGGCACTCGCAAATTGCTGACTTTTCAGATAACCCAGGAAAAAGTTTTGTATAATAACAAGTATAATTTATGCTAAGAAATTGTATACATATTTATGACATCTTCAAACATATTATCAAAATTGCATGCATTTAAATATGCATCATTACTAAAATTTAGAAAATGAATAATTTTATCGTTGTAACATGAAGACTCATTTTCGGTTATTGTAGTTAAATCTTAATTTCGTGACGTCTGAAAATGTAACTTGTCATTTTGTCTTATCACAAGTCAAATAGCAAAAGATATTATTATCTTTTAATAAATTAATTTTCGAATATTTATTAATTTTGTTCAAAAACTCATAGAATACAAAAAAAAAATCGCACGCTACAAAGAGGAGCCTCTTTTGGTCCCCGATTTTTGCCGCCCCTAAAATTTTGCCGCCGTAGACACGTGCCTCCTGTGCGTACGCGGAAATCCGCCTTTGCTTCACCATCTCCTTTTCGTGTTTATTACATTCTGTAACGTAATAAGAAATTGAAATATATATATATATATATATATATTATATATATTGCTACTTTTCTTCTAAATTCCTCTTTAAATACGTCGATTTAACTTGATATCAATTGGAGTAGGCATATTCGACGGAAGAATTGGTATTTTAAGCGTATAGAAACTAGGTATACCATTTCTCTAAGTTTTAAGTCTCAAGTAAAAATATTCTTTCTCCGTATTTTAATTCCTCTGTCATTTCTAAAAATATGTCGACTTCATTTCTCTCTTTCAGAATCTGCTAAAAACGAGGACGTTTTATTACACAAAAGAAAGGCATGTAAACTGTCACGCCAATAATTTGTGTAATCACATAAAATCAGTATCAAAGAATATTATATTCAAAATCAAAAGCTACACATGCTGATAAATAGTAAATCTTCAATAATCGCACAAGTAACGTGGCTGATAAAAAATACAATACATCTGAGGAAACCATTCAAGCACACAGGTTTATTGCATCGAAAGCCTCAAAACTCCTAATATCATACTGACCTTCATCAATAATTTCTCATATTTTTTATGATAATTTAATCATATGTCCCGATAACTCTCTCATTTGGGGCAAGATGCTTTTTCCATCCACAATCAAATAAGTTTCCCCATTCAAGACACCTAAAGCACATTTAATTGTACAATTGTGGCCAAGTCCAAATATACGAAAAGATTTGTTGTTTCGTCAGATCTGCAAAGCCTTCACAGTTCCTTAGACAGGCACCAAAAATCAACATTCACCAAAACCTGCTCCTTTTGTTGGACTGAATACAATACTGACCAAATAAATTCATACTGACCATACGGTAACAGCTAACAAACTTGATGTTGTTATTCGGAAGAAAACTCATGTCTTCTTGTAATAACTGGTTATTTTGGGGGTAAGTTCAAATCATTTTAGTAGGCTCTATTACGTTAAAACCGTTGAAATACTGAAATGTCAATCAATATGTTAATACATTTTCAGGGGGTAACGTAGAGTACATGAGACGAACGAAATAATTGTTCAAAAATTGTCTTTTATTTTTACAATTTACAAACGGATCGTTAATTGTAATTCCGATATACTACCTTCAATTTTCTTAGAACTAGTCGGCAATGAAAAAGGCAGGGGATTAGCAAATTTTAACCAAGAATATTGCAACGAATAACATGCGAAGAATATACAGACATTTATCAAAATTTTCATCCAATGAGGAGGAGTATTCATACGATATTTGTCGTGATGAGTTTTTCCATTGTTCAAAAGAAAGAAGATTCATTTCGAGTTTCATTATCTTCATTTGTTTAATTTTAATAAATAGAGTTTTCGTATTTAAATCTATATTTTGTTCGAAACTGTCAAAAAATAATTGACCTTCATCGTGGACAATAAAGAAAAAAGACTTTCATAAGAAAAATGCAATGTTTCTTAAGTAGGATTATATTTTTGTCTATTGTTTTCACTTCTTGAGATCAGACATATTCTCTTACCATGAACTCGTGTTCGTGTAAAGAAGAGATCTTGAGGAGGTAGTAAATTTGTGCTCGACATCCATTACGTTTGCCGTGGCAATTTAATTTTGTTAACAGGGACTTCATAATGCACAAACGGGCATGGACGGAGCACCCGTAACATCACGCGGCGATGACGAGTCATAATTTCTAGGAGGTCGACAAACAGCCGAACTGCCAGCGCATTGTTGCGGGGCTGGCAGTGCGAGGCGGGGCGGGGCGCGGCAGGGCGGGGCGCAGCGGGGCGGACCGGAGCGTGGCGGGGACCGGAGGGGTGGGGCCCATCGCGCTAGCACCCATCTCCGAGCAGAGAGCAGGAACTAGGTGACCATAAGAGCTGACAAACAATAACGCGAGGCAAAAAACAAGACTCGCCTCCGACTTGGCACAAAACAACTAGTGAGCGCGGATCGGAGCTGTGCGGAGCGCGCTCGGGCGCCGTTGCGGGGGCCAAAAACGGGTCCGCGGCGCGGCGAGGCGCGGCGGGGGGGGCGAGAGGGGAGAGACGGGGAGGGACAGAGCGTAACGGGGCGGGACGGGATAGGACGGGGCGCCCAGCACGGTGAGGGAGGGGAGGGGCGCGCGACGCGGGGCGGGTAGGGACGGGGCCACCAGCGAGGGCGGGCGAGCGCGGGGCGCGACGCGGCGTGGCGCGGGGCGCGTGCGGTGAGGGGCGAGAGAGTGGCGGGGAGCAAGCGGGGTGAGAGCGGAGCCTGCAGCAGCGGCAGCGAGAGTACTGCGAGAAATCGATATGAGCGGAGCCAAGGGGCGGGATGTTGTTAGAAGCTGATGCGGGAGGGAACGGGTGGGGCGCGGAGGGGCGGCGAAAGGAGAGGAGGGGAGGACGCGAGTATTTTCGTCCCCGGGTCTTAAAGGATCCTCGAACTGTGCGGAGCCCAGCGCTCTGCGTTGGTCGGCGAGGAGTGCTTGCATGAACCGCTCTGCTATTCG